TATTGGTAAAGCGGTGAATATATATAATATGTTTCCTCTTGCACTAGCAAACATATCCTATCTAGTGTTTCTGTCTCTGGATATATCTCTGTGAATATATTTATTTATTTATTTATTTCAAATGGCAGGCGTTTTGATAGTTATCATTAGCCCTTTAGCTGACTTTGGACTTCACAGAGGAGAGGGGGGGGGGGGAACATCATAGTGAGGAAAATTCGAGAGGGGGGAAAGAAGAGTGATTCACAGATGTAAAGTGAAAGATAGTCACATAGGCAGAGAAAAGGTAAGATGAGTACTGTTTAAGTGGTCGAATTCGACATACAGTGTGGTTATGGTAGCTTGAAGTCAGAAGTCAACTGCCGAATAATAAACTTTTTTGACATATGAGTAAACGTTGTAATTCTAACGCCCCCCCCCCTCTCTGTGAATGTATGGACCTTTTGCTCTAGAAAGACGTTGCTCGTGTTATCCGAAATCTAATTATCAAAATTATTAGATGAAATATACAACCAGAATCAGTAACTATAATCATTTGGATGATTGTGTTTTATGAATGATACCTCTGATTAGTCACTTGGACATCTTTATAAAATACCCAAGTTAATAAATGAACGCTTAAAAGGCAGTGAATAAATATCTAACTTATAATATTATGATCCTTCCATGGTATTTATTTAGCTGTTTACTTTTTTATCCTGTATGTTAAGCCCAAATATTTTGTTCTATCACATACCCAACTGTCCAGATAGTGATATTCGTGCGCTCATTACCACTTCTATTCTATGCTAGTTGTGTCAATTTTACTTCATTAAAACCTTAATCAATTTATTCTAAGCTTTACCTCATCATTTTAAATCGATTCAATATTATTGAGATTTGAACGATTATTCAAATGGCAGGCTTTATGATATTTATCATTAGATCCACTACCAGAAAGTAAATTTTAATCTGGGCCCCCAAATTTCCAAACTTCTTCTTTATTTACTGATTTGATTTGCTTCCTTGTGAAATTCAGAAGGTTAAAATTGTTTTATACCCCAATTGATGAAATCCTATGCTAGCCTTGGAAGAATTTCTGCAAATTCAATATTAAATCTGCAACAAGTTTTAAGTAAACACTGGAAAATAATTTGTATTGTTGTGGAAAATGGTTTTCGATAGTTAACAAACACTGAAAATTTTCAGTTTTTTAAATAATAGCATTAATTTATCCCAGCACAGAAGTTAATGCTGACAGAGCAATGCTATTATGCTTCAACATTTTCTTGTACTGCTTATTTAAGTAATATAATGGACCATTATAGTTAGGTTTTTTAAATTGGTCTGTTAGTTTATTATATTAAAAATATCCCATCGCTACGATTTAATTCTTGCAATTTTAACATTGGCACACTTCATGAAGATAAAATCTAAAGAAAATGTCACATTTGAATACAGATGTCTGAAAGAAATATCTTGAATAGTATGGTTTTGAAAATAATTCATATCTCAGCTCATGTCACAAATTATAACAAAGTAACTAAATCGACCTTTCCCATGACAGTAAAATATGAGGCTTTGTAAATGTGCAATAAGCCCCGCGATCTTCGATAGCACTAATTTCTAAGATAGGGTTAGTTTGAAGACATCTGTCGATATTTTTAAATTATTTCTTGAGATGATTATGACAAAGTCGTACAGTTCATGTGATGGTATATTTGGAATTCCACTTTATCTCTTATCTTTAAGTGCTCTGTTTTTTCTCAAGTTCTTGCCAAGATCTTATGTATAACCCACAATAATATCAATTTCTCAAACTTAGAGATTAAGTGTATTTATTTAAATTTATTCTCTCATTTAATGGTCATCATTTTGTCCTATTTATAGTGATATCCAATGCATGTTTAAACATTTCCTCAACGGTTTAGAATTAAAAATGACAGCCTTTGCCAATATCCAAAGTGCATTGGCTGAATTTTTTGCTCAGACTTCAAGCCAAGAGCGTTTGGCTCAGCTTCAGCAATCACTCATTTCCTTTGAACAGCAGCCCTCATCTTGGATGTCAGCTATTGAGTTTTTATCGATTTCTTCCGATCAGTATGTTTGTATGTTCAGCTTGGGCATAATTGAATCAACCATTAAACAACGTTGGAACCATCTGACTTCTTCTGAAAAGCAGCAAATTTTCCGATTTTTAGAAAGATACGCCTTCTCTGATCAAGATTGGCGTTCGAATATACCAATAATTTATGGTGTACGATGCAAAGCTGTAAAAATTTGGACCTCAATTTGCAAAAGAAGCCTCCCTGAATTACACGATCAGTTTTTTTCACGCATTACCACTCTACTCTCATTTCCTGATTCTTTGACAACCGAGTCTGATTTGCAGTCAAATTTGATATCATTCTCCCTTTTGAAAGCGGCCTGTGAAGAACTAATCTGTCAAGATTCAGAAATTAGTCGTGCCAAATATCTAGAAAATGTTTCAATTTTTAATTGTTCAGTTCCCCAAATTTTATCTGCTCTCTTTGAGGTCACAGAACGACTCCTTGGCCAGGAATTGATTGACTCTGTCAATTCTCTTTTCATTCAGTTCAATGGAAGTACTGTTGAGTCCCCTTTCATGAATTCTCTTCGTCTCATTCTCTACTTTGATGCCAATCTTCTCTTTTCCTCATCGAACTCTAAATCCGAGAAGAAAGGTCTCTCAAACCTCCTCTTGCAAAATTTTGCCAATATACTTGAATGTCTGACCCTAATTTTATCCGTATCTACCATCGGTGATATGAACAACTGTCGAATGTACAGTCTGTTGTATATTTTTCTCATGCTAGGTTCTCCGCATACCCTCTCCACTCTCTTAAGCTCCTCCCGATCACGAAATCTTTCTCCATGTATACCAATTGAATCGCTGGCAGAAATCGGTATGCATTCTATTAGTTGTTTAACAGAAGTTGTGGAGAGAAAGGATATTCAAAGAAGTGTCATGATTCATCATCTTCCTTTCATTTTCCGCTGCCTTTATTGGTCTATGCTTATCTTAGATCCTCAATTTCCTCTATATGACCTTTCTACATCAATTGTGGGCCTAATGGCTGAATCTGGAGTTGCACTTTCAACGTCCCAATCAGCTAATAATCTCTCAGGTCTTGCTTCTGTCTCACAGACATTGGAGTCAATTTCTGAGGAATATTATCAAAAAATGGTGGATGTTTTGCGACCCCTAGTTACTGTCTTTCTTCTCTTCACTCGACCTGCAAACATGGATGAACAACATGGTTCACTCTACTCATTCTCATCCACAAAATTTCTACAAAGAGTACATTTCTTTACTTTTAACACTTGTCGTCCAATAATCACTGTCTATCTTTCTATCCTGGATCTATGGAATGCATATTTGGATTTTATCAAGTCTTACTACGCTAATAACAACAGTTCAGTCAGAAATGCTCAAATTCCCCCTCAAAATCAACAAATCATATCAGATCTCTGTGCCTCTCTTCTCAATACTATCTACTTCTCTGAATCAGCAGAATATCTTGATCTGCTGGATAGTGAATATGCCTCCGGTTATACGAACTGTGATGATGACCACTCTACTAATTCTTATCTTGCATTTTTTGATGATTTACTTCAACATGTGGATTGCAGTGATATGATGGCAGAGAAGGAGAGCGAATATAGGGGCTTCATGCAGAGCTCTCTCACCCTTCTCTCCAATATTGCCCACTTCAATCCCACTGTTGTCATGCATAGTGTTGCTGCTAAGTTCCAGGAGGAGATGAAAATATTCACTGAGCTCTGCAGTACTCTAGAACGCACGAAGTTGGAGGAGCACACCACCAGAAAGTTGCATTATTCTCTTCGTGATTTGGCAACGTGTTTGAACTCCCTTGCATATCTCTCTGATCATTTCGCCTCCCTCTCGGATTCTGCTATGCTTAAGTGGCTTTTGCAAGCTCTTGTCTTTAATCTCAATGCGGGGGTGACTTGTTGTGATCGGTTAAAAAGTCTTCAGATTGAAACTCTCCAACAAGACGTAATCCAGGTTGTGGTGGGCAATATTAGTCTATTGCGATGTTTACTTTCCGGTGGCTTACTCATGGTTTCTGATGCTGTAACGCAGAATGTAACTGATATACCCCAAGGTCATATTGTACTCTCAATTGATGATAAAGATGCCTTCACTACTTCTTTACTGCAGTGTTCCCATCATCTTATCCTAACCTCTCCGGTTTCTTCACTTCAAACTAATGCTGCACTACTATTTCAGTCTATAGTAATATCTTCTGCGCCACCTGGTTTCTTCCCACCGGCTAATCAGCTTTCAGAGGGCTCTGTTCTTGCTGATCTCATAACTTGCTGCTGTGAACCGATACGTCTCAAGTCGTTTAGTATTCATTTGCAACGAATACTCATGCGTACTGTCACAGCATATCTTCTCATTGACGAAAGCGCGACGATAAATCTTGCTAAAGTCAACCCACAGAGAACTGAGGAGCTACAAGCTCTAACGGCAAAGAAAACAGGTGTTCTGGTTAATCGCCTAATGCCAATTTTCACTCAGACTCTCAACGTGGACATCTTAAACTCAAATCGGGATGCCTACTTTGCGGGACTGTGTTGGTTAACTGAAGCCCTAGCGTCTCTTATTCCTCTTGGCACAAAGAGTAGACGCTTGATGTATGATGCACTCACAGAATGTGGAGTCTTGAATGCCATCTGGAAGTGCTTTGAAGCCACGAGTCTTTCCTCCGAAGTGTACCTCTTTATTGCTCATCTTTCTTTCTTTGTTCAATTCGCGGATATCTATGGGAATCAGCGGGCTACAGCCTCAATGATCCCTGGTTTTGTCACTAATGTGATGCAACTCCTTCAAGTGCTGGATAGGAACACTGCTACTGCGCGTCTTGTCTCGCCCGTCATATCCCATTTACTCCATTTACTTGACCGTCTTGGACAGAATCGGGTGGCTTTTCACTCACTCGCTCCCGATGTTCTGCGTTTTATCAGCAACTGTCTTGTCGTTAACTTAGCTGGAGGTTCAATCTCTGATCTCCCCACCACAGTTTCAAATGCGTCGAAAAGTGATCCAGATCTCTGTCTCCGAGTGTTTAAAACTCTCTTTAACACCTTCTCTTACGAGTACACCCAACTTGCTAGCAATGAGGAACATCTAGCCGCTTTCCTCCGGCCTGTTCTATCCGTTTTCTCAGGAAAGGTCTTTGATCCACGCCTTCTGATCTCATGTATTGAATTTTTGACCGATCTAAATACACGACATCGATTTTTTACTCTACCAATCTTTATGACACAATGGAGGAGTCAGTTTGCTCAACAGTGGTTGGAACTACTCAGTGATAGAGTCAATGTTGCTGTTCAACGTGGAAGTGATGCTGAAAGCGCGATAATTGGAATCCTACATGGAGTCTACTGTACTCCGGATGGATTTAATTCTAAAGAATTCGTTGCATCAGCTCTGGAACCCTTTTTAGCACGCGTACTAGAAAAGAAAGAACAGTTTGCTGCCCAACTTATGACGGTGCTAATGGAGAAGTCACCGAAAGAGCTGGCTGTACTAGATGAATTCACATCCCTCTTGAGTGTCCTCTTGGTCAGTGTTCGGCAAAATCCTCGTGTCAGTGTTGCTGTAAACGGAAAGTTCGGACAATGTGAGTTTCTTGACTATGAGCAGTCGATCTCCAAAAGACCAGTTAATGTGCTTTTATAAGGTGAAAGGGAGATGTAAAGGTATAAAAATGAGCAGATGGTAATTGCAATTTGAAGTAAAATACCAATTCCTCTGTGGCTAGATTAGCACCTGTTAATTATTTGCTTTTAAGAACTTCTAGACTTGAACTTTCGTGCCGGCATTCAGTTCGGTTTGGGCGAGTGAAGTAATTCTGAGCAAACCCTTTTCTCTAAATGAAACTTGCTTTCCTTTGTGAAGAAATATTATTTCAATACGAGTGTTCTGCCTTCTATGAATTGATCGGCTTTAGTTAGCTCAAGACTGAAGATGAAAGTGTCGTTGTTTCAAAACGCCCTGTTATTTTACCCCAAAATCATAGCAAGAATGTAACTAACTCACGAAGCTCAAACTACAGTTTGGTTCGCTGAGAAATGTTGTGTAGACATTCTGCCTAACGTCTTGATTAGGTGAGACACCACCCGAGGTGCGAGTTGCTCGACACTCTCCTAATCAATCTTTTTTGTCGTAGTCCTGTCACTTTTCATTTTTTTATTCATCATCACATATTCCACGTGTCAGACCTACTTCCTTTGGCAGCTGTCAAACTAAGGGTTGCTTAAAAACATACTATGGCCAAGAGAAGACAAGATGGTTAAGTTGTTTTACCCTAATATTTCCCTTATTAAATTTACAGATCTATCATGCTCTTCTTGATATGACACCTATTTGCAATTAATTAACAAAAAATGCGTCCGATCCAATAACAAATATGCTCTGTTCCCTCATCCATAGCGGTGGCATGCATTTCTGCATTGTCAGACCCTTCAATTTTGATGACCAACGTCATTGGTCAATTCCGACTAAGTTTGAATTTCCCATTAAACTTAGCTCTAAGTCATTTTTTCGGAAATTTTTAATTCACCATTTATTTATTTAGTCCCTCTAATAGGAAAATTATCAGTTGTAGTTCGTTTTAAATGCTGAGCTTTTAAAATTTCCTTTTTTATCAAACACAGAGGAAAGTAAAATATGTTGACTTCTTTTTTAAGCATCTAAAAAAGTACTTTGAATTTGAGCTACTTTGCCCTCATCTGTTGAGGGTTTTTCAAGGCGTTTGAGGAGAGTGGGGACTATTAATGCTGGATGGTCTATGGTCAATTATTTTTCCACTAGCGTATACTTTACAATGTAGTTCGAGCTCTGTTATCAGAGCATGAGGTGTACCTCAAGTTGCACAGCTTTAAAGCTTAAGTGGCGGCAGCATTCCCAATTCCATCACTGCAGAGCTTTTATGGTATATTCTTGATCGCATTTAAACACACACAAGAGTTAAATCAATGTACACCTGTAAAAACAAGACGTTAAATTAATGAGAATGTTACCTCATGCATGTGCACCTCTAATCCGCTGCACTTTCGTGATTCCAATCGGAGTGGTTGGGTGTTAAAATGCTGGCAGTTATGAGGGTTCAGAATCTCGTTACAAGACCTATGTTACAGCCAAAAAAGACCATTCGTAGTCCATTTATTCAAAGCTAATTCAGAGCTTACTCATAGAGGCTTACATACAATGAAAAGGTAGTTCTGCAAAAATTTGGAAACACCTTTACTTTCACACACTTTTCCAAGATTGAGTTAGTTTTGATGGAAAAGTAAATTGTCAATATATTCTTGAAATTTGCTTTTTTTCTAAAGAGAGCTTAATATCAGATTGGCCGACTTCCGTAATTTTGGACTAAGCCTCACTTTTGAGGAATTTGCTCGCTATTATTGAGTTGTGGTACTTATCGCCTTTTTGAAAACCAACATAGGTTATAACAGTCATATTCATGAGAGCATAAGAAGGGCGATTGCATGGCCAGTTTTCTCCTATTTTTCCTTTCCACTATATTCAAATTTTTCCTTCTAGTTTACAAAGCGTTGAGTAGTTTTGTGTCTAGATTGGATGAGTGAGACGTGCTATTTAAATTTTATAAGTAGCACTATTTTATTATGTCATGATTTTTTATGCCACATAAAACAATACTGTGTCTCTTATTTTAGGATCGTACAACTCAAGGATATCGGCCGCAATTACCTCCCTTGTTTGGATTTTTGCTTATTTTGACCCTATTTTTCCGTTTGTACACACAAATACTTGCCTCTTCATTTACGCATACCTTTTTATTCATCATGGATGTGTATACACAGTATACAATTTTTCATAAAGTCGTTTTTTATTATTTACAACTATCTTCTTGTTTCTCAGTTCATTATTTAAAACAATTGAATGCAGATATGGGGATATTGGGGTTGGAATAAAGCATTTTTATTGCCCTATTTCCGGTGATTTTTAGCCTTTTTGATGACCAATACCTTTCAAAATGAAACAGCGCATGTTCTATGAACTGTGACAAGGAGAAGTAAGTGTCTCTAATCCAATATGCCGTGTCTCTATCCTTAACGCTAAATTATAGTCATGTATCGATTCTCAAATAATACAGTGTGCACTGTCTTTACTAATATATGATTCACAAAACATTGTGTAAATGTTTTAAATTCCCTACTCTTAAAACCTGGATTATTAATGAATGGAATTCGATTTGTAAAGTCTTATTCCATTCTTGTATGAAGGAATTATTGCACTGATCTTTCGAGAGCTCATGAGGCTATATGACCTCGTGAAATAGCGGTTATAAAGCATTAGGATCTACATACGGTGTAATCAAGGTAAATGAGGTCTCGTATAAATACAGGAAAATGAATTTTCAATATATTTTTATTTAAGAATATTAAATACAGCGGATTTACGACAGAATTACCTCCACGTGGCGCACCCTGGGCAACGTATACTCATAAACCGGCAGTTGACTACTGACTTCAAGCTACCATGACCTGACTATGCCATATTCCACCACTTTCACAGTACTCATCTTACCTTTTCTCTTCCTGTGTCTGTCTGTCTCGT